TTTTCAAAATAGAAAAAATTTAAGTCATTAATAAAAGGCTTAAATCAGTACATACGATTTAAGTCAGATAGAATCGATTTAAGTCAAAAAAAGAATTAAGTCTTTATAAAAGTCGGTAAATTATTTAAGTAATTTAAAAAGATTTAAGTTTTTTTAGAAACTATTTAAGTCAGATGTTTCATATATTTTTTGTAAATGTTTAACAGCGGCATTTTCTTTTGAACTGCCAGGGGTTCACGCGGCAGCAGATCAAAAACTCCTTTAATGTCCTACCTACAATTGCTACCGCTAGTGAATAAAAAAACCGCCGCGGTAAAGTTAGCTTTTCGGAACCGTTTGACGGCTACATTAAAAAGTGTCCTGTCTAAAATGAATGAAAAAAAAAGTGGGGATTTATAATTTTGTTATTTTGTTTGCTAACATTCGTCGTATTATGCGTGCGTAGTTAGGTCTAATTTGTGATTATTAGTGGTAAGGACGAATAAATATTATAAAGACGTGTTTATATCATACAGTGTGTTTCGGTTTGTTTAAGTAAATAATTACGACAAAAAAAGTGATTGTGTGTGAATAAAATTATTCAAACGTGATTGTGCGTAAACGTGAGTAGTCTTAAATTATTACAGTCGTGAGTGGTCGTAAATCGTGAACAATAGGGAATCGGGAGTAGTCGTGAGCGATAGTGAGCAGTCGTAAATCTTGAGCGGCCGTGAATCAAGAGTTTGGAAACTTCCATCATTACTCCCTTAAGGGAGGAATATTTTTTTTCTAGATGGATGTTGAACCAGCTAACAAAAGTTAACAAAACAATAAGTTACCAGTTTTTGAAATACGGCGATTTTAAGAAAAATGCACACAGAGTATGAATCTATTACCGTTTAGAAGTTACCCATTTATGTATATAAAAAAGTAGCCTCCCTGTATGTCTACTCTAATAAAAAAGGTGGTTTAAGTTTTTATTTTGATTGTCTACTATATACTCAAAAAATGTGTTTGAAGTTTTTATTTTGTTTGTAAGTGAAAATAAATCGTTTTAAATTCTTAACATAGTGGTTTATTATCATCTGTATCTACAAGAGATTAATAATATCAGAATCATTAATACCATAAAATTATTATTAACAATTAAAAAATCGTTGTATTGACTTAAGGGTAATTTTGATTTAAATCACAATTTTTGATTCAAGTCATTTTATTGACTTAACTCTTAGATCACGATTTAAATAAAAAATATAGACTAAGTCATAAAAACGACTTACTAAAGGAATTAAGTCATAAGATGACTTAAATCAATTTATATTGATTTAAGAATTTGCGAAAATGACTTGACTTGAAGGAAAATGATTTAATTCAAAGACTTAATACTTAAATCATTTGAACTTTATCTTGGAATTGACTTAAGATTTAAATCATTTTGATTTTAGAATTGACTTAAGACTTAAGATTTAAGTCTTTTTAAAACTGACTTGTTGCAGCTCTGTTGCCAAGTTGGATCAAGTTTCTCAAATTCCTTTAAATTTTTCAATAAAGTTTTCATATTTTTTTTTAATCCAATTTAAATAAAAACCAGTAAAAAATATAAAGGTGTATTCTACGCATAAAAACAATACAAAAATCTAAATGATGTTATCTGATTTTTTATTGTTTTTGAGTTACCTACAAGGTTTTGGAAATTTATTTTTCTTTCCAATCAAAGTTCTAAATCAAGTCTGTGCCAAAATTGGATGAAAACTTCATTAAAAATAATTTGGGAAATTTGTGGATTTTTGAGGTTTTCCTCGTCAGATGTCACCTTTTAGTCCGGTCAAATTAGACATAAAAATAGTGTTTAAATAACAAAAATTCCGACAGAGCTAAATTTTGGTAGAGGCCTTGGGTACACCAGTAGAAATAAAATGCCAAAAGTCCCCATTGATCCCATGTGTGCTAAAAAAGTTACTCAAGGTCAAAGTAAAAATTTTCGGTTTTTTTATTTTTCTCGAAAACGGTGAGTTTTATCAAAATTATAGTTCAGACAAAAATTGTAGATCATAAAATTATCTACAAAAATTTTCCCCATACTTTTTTTCCTAAGAATCACCATTCCTAAGATATCGGCATTCTAAAAGTTCAAGGTGTTACATTCTAGATGATATGCACACATTTCTACGCCACCTATGAGGTAGAGTACTTGGCGCTATTTTTTAACGTGGTTTCCATGAGTTTTATGGGAACATACTGTATTTACTGCATGATGATTAGTGATATTGATATAGGTGATTATTTTACACTGTAGTTATATTTTATGTTAATATTTTAATCTAATTCATATTCTTCAAATTCCACTTCAACAGTCATGTCTTTTTCGATTTCTTCTTCTTTTTCCTCTTCTTCTTGCTGGATCTCAATAAATTGTTCAACTGAAGATGAATCAGCAGTCTCTTCATCGATATCAAACGAATCTTCGTCTATAGGATTCGATTAAACATTCGAGCAAGACTGGCCTTGGCAATTAGTACACGCTGGTGAACACGACAACCCTACTCTTCTACAGCCACATTTAGCACTACAACCCTTTTTACAATTGCAATAAATAGAGTTTAGGAGTTTTTCCGGTGCAGGTGGGAGGATAGTTTGAATCGGTTCCAAAATAATGTCTGTTAATTTCCAACCCCAGTCTTCGGGGTTTAGTTGATTGCCTAACCATGTCTAAACCTGATAAAATGCTCGATAAAAGTGTGTAGAAGCCGATGTTGGAGGAAGACAAGATAGTTGTACTTGTTTCTTGTTTCGTGTATTTTTTACAAAAGTTAAATATCTATACTTGTCTTTACAATCAATTTTCTTTGGAGCTCCATAAACAGCAAGGAGAAAGCGAATTCCTTTTGTGATTATCGTTTGAGGAGAAGAGTCAATTTCTTCAAATACTTTAGCGCAATCAATTAAATCCATTTTTTCAAATAAGTTTATTACTGATGTTTTACCCCTTCTGAACATTGCTGATGTAGTATCGCAGCCGGTTATCGCATGTAAAAATAAAATATGGTTTTGGCATTTTGGATAAGCAGATAAACTTGTTGAAGAGTATATTTCTGTTCGCGGTTGAGCCTTTCCAGGTTTTTAAAAGTAAATAATTTTATCAATTGAAGTCCGTGCAGTAAGTAGTTCTAATAAATCAACATCTTTACCAACCACAACGGTTGTATTTGTTGCATTGAGTTGTTCAATTGCTGTTTCTTCTTTTTTATTTAAGTTTTTTTATCAGACCAGGCTTGTCGACGAAACAAATAAATGTTAATTTTTCCGGCTTTTCTATAATAATAATTCTACTACCATTCTTTACTTTCAATCGTATTTTTATAGTTCTCTTATCTAAAGCTACATTTTTATTAACATTCTTTAGTTCATCCAATGTAAACAGGCAATCATCACTACTTTCTATAAAATTATGAATTTTCTCCATCGCAAAGTTTGCTGCTTCATCTTGAAGTTCTACTATTATCTAGTATTAGGTCTCAGGAAAGGTTTGTAACAATTGTCATGCCTCATCACCAACTAAATCATACTCAAATTTAATGCGTTCAGTGGCAGCTTTTGATACGTAATCAGAACGATCCTAAGCTACTGTCAAAACGTATTCTTTAAATGAAAGTGTAGCAACGTTATACATTTTTTGTCGACGATGTAGCGATTTTTTTTTTCAGCCTCTTCATCCGCTTTATCGCCACAAAATAAGCAACATTTTTTAAAACAAAAGTCGGATTCCCTTTCTCGTGCTCTAGTACGAGGTGGACTTACTTTTGATGTACTAGCTTGTCCATCCTTTTGATAACAGCAATTGAACTTTTCCGGGTGTATGATTTTCGGCAATCCACGTGCGTTGTTACAGACTTTTTACTTTTCAGATAATCAACAAACTCATCACCTCTTTTGATATTGGCATCGATCAAAGTTTTCATTCTACGACTAACTGTAACAGCTTCACTTTCCGTCCAAAGTTTATTGCAAATAAAGCATAATTGTGACATTTTTAAAAATATTAATGGGTACAAACTGTAATAGTAGACGCTAGTAATAAATACATGTATTCACTCGTATTCACTCGAAAGGAACGGACAACACTAAAAGTATTTCACTTAACCACTTGAGAAAAGAAGGTATATGAGCCATAATAAGTTTGTTGATTTCGTTACCAAGCAACCACCAAGATAAACCGCCGGTCCTGCCACATGTGCTACGTGTGTAAACTAAAACCATATTCGACTAGACAAAAATATAGAAGGGACTGGCTAAGGGACTTTTATTGTATATTCTCAGAATTGTATGGTTTAAACATATAAGAGATACAAATAGGCATTTTTAATTATATTAAGTGCCTGACTATGTATATATATATATATATATACGTGGTATTTGTGTGCATATCATGTAGAATGTAACTCCTTCAACTTTTAGAATGGCGATATCTTAGGAATGGTGATTCTTAGGAAAAAAAGTATAAGGAAAATTTTTGTAGACAATTTCATGATCTACAATTTTTTTCTGGAATATATTTTTTATAAAACTTACCGTTTTCGAGAAAAATCAAAAATACCGAAAATTTTGACTTTGACCTTGAGTAACTTTTTTAGCACACATGGGATCAATGGGGACTTTTGGCACTTTATTTCTACTGGTGTACCCAAGGTCTCTACCAAAATTTAGCTCTGTCGGAATTTTTGTTATTTGAAATGTCTATTTTGACCGGACTATTTCATGTGATAACAGATCTGTCACCTGTGAAAGTTTTGCTTGATATTATGCAATAATAAACAACATTTGTTTTGTGAAATATTGCATGGGAAATTTTTTCATAACCTTGAAAATAATAAAAACTCGTATAACACAAGTTTTTATCATTGTTTTTATGTGTAGAATACACACTTGAAATGTTTCACTTTCCTTCCAACTCACCCTGTATATACATTAAAGATAAGAAAATCTGAATCTCAAGTATTAAAATAAAATAAATGAGTAGAGGGGGCAATAACATACATATCTTTATATTTAAAAAAAATTGCGATACCTTTTGTATTACTTTAAAATGAATACTCAAGCAGTGTTGTCATTACTAACAATATGTAAGGGAGTTAAAAATAATTCAAGATAAGTTGTTAACATATTTTTTCAGTTTTATGTCTTCTTCATTTATACTTAGCAAATGACGAGTGTGTCTCAAAGGACTTTGGTTATGGCAGTACGGTCTGTGTGTGCAACAAAAGCACATGCCACAGTGTGCCCCCTTTGCAAAAACCCAAAAAGGGACAATATGTCATCTACACGTCGAACAAGGAAGGACTGAGGTTGCACAAAGGCGTCGGAAACTTAGTGGCCAGCAGTACAAACTACAAAGAAAAAAATGTGCTGAAAATCGACGAGGATGTTCTACTTCAGGAAATGAAGGGATTTGGGGGGGCCTTCACCGACGCCAATGGAATTAATTTAGCCAGTTTGACAAAGGATATGCAGGAAAAGCTTATAAAGTAAGTTTAAGTCAAAATGTTTTACAGTCTGCAAAACTTTAAAAAAACATCGGTCAACACTCTAAATTTAAGTTTTTCGAAAATGTTTGTTAAATTATTTTCATACAAACGTTTTTAAAATTGTATAAAAAAATCGTGATAGAGATAAACTTTGAACGGGAAATTTGTTTATAAAAATTAATTACACCAATATTTTTACATATAGAGATAAATAAATATTTCGAAAAAAACACGTTCTGGTTCGTACAAATTTATTTATTTATAATGTAATTTAAACTCTATTAAGTTTTTAGCACAATTTATTATTTTATTGCATTCTCCTTAATACATGTTTTAATACAGATATATTTGTAAACATTTACCATGTTTATTTTAAACCATGCTTTTAAGAAATTAAGCACATTTTATCACTAATATTTGATGGTGTTATTCCTAAAGACCATTTATAAAAAAATATTTAATTTAATTAAAACTTTAAATAAATAAAATTTTCTTTATAAATGACCTGAGAGGAATAGCACATATACAGGGTGTCTCAGATTTTAATCAGAAAAAATAATCGATAGAAGTCGCAAAAATAAGGACAAAAGTTTATATGAATTTGTTTTCTTTAAATCTATTTTCTAGATACAGGGTGTTAATGTTAATAAAAAAAGATATGGTAATGCCACTGTTTTTTGATGAGTTTAATATTATATTTGGATTATACAATTAAAAACACAAATTTTTTGTCTCTTGTATTTTTTCTCTTTCTTGCTTAATTTTCAAGAAAAAAAAATAAATTCGTTTATCCGCTCGTGAATACGAATTGTATGAAAATTTAACAAGATAGAAAAAAAATGTAGGATACAAAGGAGTTTTTGAAATTTTTAAAAGATTAAATATAATAATAATTACTAATTATACTGTAGGTAAATTTTTAACTTTTAAAATATCACAGCTAAACGCTCGGACACGTAAACATAGTTTTTGGTCATAGAATCTATGACATAGATTCCAAATCCGTACTCGGTTTAGCTGTATCAGGTCTAAAAAAGTTTTTCCTGGTATATTATAATTTGAAAAATAATATAATTCACCTCTTGTGCCAACAGTTTTATGCTTTTTATTTCATTTAATATATTAAACTCAATAAAAAAAACAGCAAAAAACATTTCAAATTTCCTAAATTATCGTAAGTAATATCATAAGGGCATTTAAAAAAGAATAGAAAAAACACGTTGCTAAGTAATATTTTAACAAAAAGCATGAGTGCTGGTGGCAACAAAAATCCGAGTCGAAGAGGAGGATTTTTGCACCTGCACGAATGCATTTTGTTAAAAAATATTACTTAGCATTGTGTTTTTTCAATTTTTTTTACAGGAAAAATTTGATCCTGAATGGTATTTGACAAGACTATTTCATAAGTAACAGTTAACAATTAAAATATAAATTGCAATTTTTGGTGACACAAGATGTCAAGTTTTGCCGCGGGTAAACTCAAAAAAACTGCTGACAGGTGCTGTCACACAGTTTTTCACCTAGAAACCATTTTTAATTTAAAATTGCGCGTTTGTGATTGGTGGAAATTAAGACGAGGGAAATAGTCTAAGAAAAACCCTTGGGACACGTGTATCTTTTGATCAATGAACTTCAAATTTGTTATTTTTTTAAATTGGAACTGATGTGTGGGTCTCGCCAAATTTAATTTAAAAAAAAATATCTTTGAATTTTAACCTGATACAGCTAAACCAAGCACGGATTTGTAATCTACGACCAAAAATTAAGTTTACGTGTCCCTACAGTGTTATTAATAATTGTATATTATATTATTATTACATAAGGTGTCTCAGATTTTAATCGGGATAATTTAGTATGCTAAATGTTAATTTTTATTTTATAAGGTATATTTAAGTTATAATGCCAAAAATAAATGTTATATATTTATTTGTACAGATAGCTATAACATAACCATTAAAATTTAAATAAAAAATAAAAATAGAAATTTAAATTTCTTTAAAATAATTTTTGATTAATAATATATGAATTATAAATACAAATTTGCAAAAAAATCTGCATACTACGTAATTAATAATTTATATCTTATCTATTTATCAAATTACACCATAAATTTATTGTTTGTAATGGCTATACATTTAAATTGTTAAGTACAATATTTAAAGTGGGTGTGATTTATAAAATGTAGACAAATATTTTGATATGAAAACTATAATTATGAGAGGCGCAATTATTGGTGCAGCGTAATTTCCCACGAATTTCCTTAGATCATATTTCACCGAGGACGGCATTCAATACAGCCTATGCAGAATTCCAATTGGTGGAACCGACTTTTCCACACATGCTTATTCTTATTGCGACACTGAAGAACCAGACAAAAAATTAACGCACTTCAAACTGGCCGAAGAGGACCATAAATACAAAGTAAAGTTTGAAAACAATTTTGAAACCACCACATAACATAACACATAACATAACACACCACACGGATTTTGAAACCACCACATAACATAACACATAACATAACACACCACACGGATTGCTAAAGCCTTCTAGCGCAACCTCTTATAAGAGCTTTGCTATCCATGTGATAAAATCTCAGAACAAAAATTAACAAAACTGATTCTTTAGATTCCTTACGCACTTTGGGCCAAAAACCTAACCCAAGATCTAAAATTCTTTGCGTCCGCTTGGACAGCACCAAAATGGATGAAAATCAATGGAAACTACAGTGGCCCGATGGGTTTTTTGAAATATGAATTCTACCAGACGTGGGCCGAATACCATCTTAAATTTTTGGAGGCCTACGAACGCGAAGGTATTGACTTTTGGGGCATGACCACAGGAAATGAACCTGTGCAAGCCCTGAGTACTTCTAAAATTAACTCTGTGGCTTGGCTTCCATGGCAAATGGTATGTTTTATGTGAATTAATTTTTTTTAAACCGTTTCGTTATATTCGATATATTTTTGAAGCAACTCCTTATGCCATTTACCTAATTACTAAATACTAAAAATAAATAGAGTAGTACTTTTAGATGGCGTAAAGAGTTTATAAGAGAAAAACACCTTGTGATGTGACATCAACTTTAATTGAGAAAAGCGGCCAAAGAACGTGTTAGACTTATACACTACATTATTATATTTTCAGCTAAATTATGTCAAAAACAACCTGGGCCCAACAATAAAACATTCAAAATTCTCAAAAATACACCTAATGATGCTGGATGATATGAGATTCTTTCTGCCCTGGTACACAAATTGGGTAAATACATTTTTCCAATATATTTCTTTGAAAATACTATGGTTTCATGTGTTTTTATTTCATATATGCTATGATTGCAATATAGGCAAACACATAACATGAAATTTAATTTTCTGCAGATACAAAATATGCTATCTTAGTTGAACATAGTTTGTTCGATTTTAGGTTATGAAGGATAAAAAAGCCAGAAAATATTTGGACGGTATAGCAGTACATTGGTATTTTGACGATCAATTTTCACCAAATTTATTAAATAAAGCCCACAACTCGCACCCCGATAAGTTTATTATTAATACTGAAGCATGTAACGGTAATACTGAAACTTAAATATTTTTTATTATTTAAAAATATTTTTTTTACTAATTTTTTTAGGAGATCAAACAGGAGATATCCATGTTATGCTAGGATCGTGGGAAAGAGGGGAAAAATATGGAAGCAGTATTATAGAGGTAACAATTAACAATATTTTCTCTCATAAAAAACCGCAAATAAAGAAATAGTAATTAAAAATACAAATTAATTCTTTTAGATTATTTTCAACATAAAATAGAAAAAAAACGTAGTTTTCTTATATAAATAATAATTGTGTTAAAATGCTTGGTAAAAATGCAAATTTAACTATTTTTTTCTTATAAACCAATTTTCAAATTTGTACGTTTTTTTAATACTACGTAAATACAATTTTTAATAAAATAAGAAGAAAATAAACAAGTACACAAATTAAACCCTTAAATTATAGTTTTTAATTATTTTATTTTTGAAAAAACAAATTCAATATTCAGGACACAAACCACTGGGTAACAGGTTGGATAGATTGGAACATGTGCTTGGACATACAAGGGGGGCCAACCTACATTGACAACAATGTTGACTCCCCCATCATAGTCAACGCAACCGCAAACGAGTTCTACAAACAGCCAATGTATTACGTTTTGGGACACTTTTCCAAATTTATACCAATCGGATCTCACAAAATCAACTCAACGCAAATCGACAACAAAAATGTCCCTGTTGCCACATTTAAAAGGCCGGACGGCGGGGTTGTCACTATCATATTGAATAAGTAAGTTTTAAGTTATTATTTTCAGTCCAAATATTAAGGCGCTTATTCCCTTTCTCTAAACATGCATGATCATTAACTACATATTATGTTTTGTAACATATATGGGGCAAAACACGCCAAGTGTTCCCACCAAAAACCTAAGTTGTTTCCGATTTTGATGAAACTTTGCTAAATCATTGTCCTATCGGACTACTTTAATTAAGCTAAAGGGCAGCGGAAAAGACTGACGGGTTGCAGATATACACTGCCCTACTATGGAGAAAGGCAGTAACTACAAAAAAATTCCTAATGCTTTTTCTTGTGCTATGATAAAGCTATGGACATTTTGTATCTTAATTCAACTAAGAATTGCATGCAGTAAACTATCTCATACGTTAAATAAATCAATTAAATATCTACTGATTTTTATAAAAATTTAGTTTATGCCAATTTTCCACAGATTTCTTGTTTAGCAGTTACTGCCTTTCTCCATAGTTGGGCAGTACAGGGGCTTGAAATTTTTCTTTTTCTTTTTTCAGAGTCTTAAGGATGATACAAAAAATATAAATTACTTTTTTTTTAAATCTACAAATAATATATCCTATATCCTTTTTTGTGCTTCAAGATAGAGGTGGTTTCAAAAGCGAAACAATTTTTTTTAGCTAAGAAAAATTGATATAAAAATATTTTTACTTTTTTCTCAAAATGGGACCATTTTGATTTTTTAAAATAAGTACTAAAAAAGCTTATTCTTTTCCCTAAATTTTGATATATATATATAGTTAACTGGGATCTCGAAACCAGTTCGAAAAGAAAAGCGTTAAAACGCACATGGATCGGGCATCGACTGGCTCTGTTCGATCCGCTATTAATCACAATACAGGGCGTCCGGGAATTAATGCAACAAAATTTGGTCACAGATTCTCGAGACAAATTTAGGGGACACATATTTTTTAGTTTTGCCAATTGGCCTTCTTTTCGGAGATACAGACCCCTAAAAATCGCCCATAAGAATAGTCTTTTTCTTATATAAGAAGATATATATCTCAAAACCCTATTGTACCAGACTCACTAAATTTGGTATACAGGGGTTTTTTGATACGTGGAATCTGGTAGTGTTAAGGTTTTTGGCTGGGGACCCCCTTGAGACGCTTTTTCGTAGGCCCCCTTGTCTTCGAGGGGATTGACAAATTCAGTAGGTTAAACAAAGGCGGGAAAAACAGCTGCTTATAAAGTCGGTTCTCGGCATGAAGGGCCGAATTTCCACATAGTCAGAGGGCACTAATTACGGCGGGGTGCGGCCGGCAACACTTCGGTTCTGAAGATATCGTACAGGGCGGCAAACAATTCTAAAGCGGCTATCAGGAACCGAAATCCGACTCGGACAGCGACGAACAGGAAGTACACTATCAAGGAAAGGCGCTAGCAGCATACTAATCCACCTACCCCCATTCAGGAATCCCAACTGAATGGGGTTATTACTAAAGCCCTGGATTCCGGATTGAACTTAGTTTTGGGTCAGTTCAATGTCCTCCAAAAACCCTTCCTAAACTGGACATATGGCCAGACCCGGCTGACAAAAATCCGTGGAGCGGCCTTAACCATTGACACTGTCATCCACGACCTCCTAGGGTGGATCTACCAGCCGGCGTAAAAACTTCGGATCCAACAAACACAGGTAATGCTGTGATTTGGCGGGATACGCAGGAGAACGGAAAGGGGGTAAAATAACCCCGGGAGATTAGTGGAGGATAATAGATTTGGGGCCTGCCATACGTTCCCATACTCATACTCATACTCATAAAAAAACAACTAATATTAAATAGATGGGATGTAATATTATTACACAAAAATAAAGACAAAAAATTAGTCTAACAAAAGGATAAAAACTAATAATATACAAAAAATATGCATCTAAAAACTCTAACCCATATAATTTTTTAACCTTAAATGGGGGCTAAAACTTTTTTGTGTAATTTTAAAGTCCCTTTTAGGTGTTTAAAATTACACGATAATTACATGATAAGTCCCTTTTAGGTGTTATCAATACATTTTACCAAAGAACACTTACTCTACTCATCAGAGTTTGAGTTGGACTTTTTTTTGCCTCTCTGTTGTAGAAAGGCAGCCTGTGTTGACCTGAAAGGCTGGTCAATGCCGAGTTCAAGAGTTGGTAATCCCTCCACCACTAACTTCCCTCTTAGGGCTAGAAATTTATCCTCAATGTCATTAAGTTGTTTTACTGACTCCCCAACATTGCCAGTCTTTATGTGAGAAATGCGTAGTTTCCTTGACCTTCTCCTTACATGGACCTTTAAGTATAAGCATAAAAGCATAAAAGTTTTTCCCACGTATTTTTTAGAATAAGTCACAGACCTAGGTCTGTGGAATAAGTATATTATACTTTGTCCTAAAAACCAAGGTCAAGTCTTTAAACATACGCGAAACGGAATACCCTTTAACATAGGTAATGTTTTGGTTGTTGTTAGGAAACATACATGTTTAAAAACCGATGTTTGTGTACATTAAGAACGGGAATAAGCGCATTAGTTTGCATTTGTTTAATTATTAAATTTTTTTAGAAAAGAGGTAAATGTGGACTTGGTGCTAATAAACAACAAAAAAGGTGATGTTCCACTGACTGTTTCGCCAAAATCCATTACGACAGTGGTGTACTACAATTGATTTTGCCTTTAATTTAAAATAAAAAGAAAAAATTTTGAAAATCTTACAACAATAAATTAATTTATTAATTAATAAAATAGTTTCTTTGAGATTTTTCCAATTTTGTTAATTTTCCCTTCTTACAATACAATAATAAATAATTTAATTATTCATTAACTACGGTTTCGCGAAAGGATCGAACGGTCGATTTGGGTTCAAGAAATCGATTGAAACTTTTTTACCTTATTTCTACATCTAAATTCAGTACTTTTTTCAAAAAAAAGTCTCGTCCATGGACAACTTTGTTTTTATTTTTATTTTTTTCTTCACGGTGTTAAAAATGAAGATCCATTTTTTAATAACTTTTTATTTCAAAACGATTTGAAATTTAGACAAAATGTAGATCTTACTAATGGCAATTAATCCACAAAAAAAATTTAACGTTCAGGGGGCGCTGGTGATTATTTAATTTAAAATTTAACAATTTAAAACAAGGGTAATTAATCGAAGAAGCAACTTTGTTTTATAAATTTAAGTATAACACGTTAAAGTATTGACTCTCTTAAAATGAAATATTCAAAATTCTACTATTTGAATTAGTACCAGCTTTTTTTACTAATACTAATTTACTAATTTTTATATAAATATTGTTGTATCTTTTATTAATAATAAAGTATAGCATAACATATAAATGACGTTTAAATTAAACGGTTTAATATACAGGGTGTTTCACGTACGTAGTCCGTTAGAAGTTTCTAGGGAATCGCGAAAGACATCGATTTAAAATTTTAATAGCGTAAATTATTCGATTTAGACTTTTTTTCTAAATTATTTTAAACAAAATAACACTTCCTGTTTTACCGGAAATGTCTTTAACTTTGTTATTTTAAACAGGACACCTAATATATTTTTACGTTTTTAAATTATACCATATACCTAAAGTCAATATTTTTCGAGTTAATTTTATAACCAAATATTTTAATTAATTTTAAACAATTACATATTAAGTGGTAACCATGGATACTGTCACATTAACCCACATGTAGAAATTCACAGGTTTGTTGATACAAAATAGTAGGTATTGAAAATATTAGAAATTGTTAAATGTCTCTGAAATTTTAACTTTAGGAAACAGTTATTATAATACCAATCGAAAGATGGTTAAAAATACAGGGTTTTACATTTTTAATAAAAACGTTATTATTTTTTGAAATTTGCCTAATTTCAAGTGGTTTTTCTCAAGCTATTTGTTAAAAAACCTTAAAAAAAAATAAATTAATTAAACAATTGGTTATTTAAACATTGATGTTTTAATATTCCAAAAATTCCAACCCCATGTCAGCAAACATAATAACAAAAAAATCAGAGGCTACTTTTGATTAAAGTGCATTTAGCAAAATTTTAAAAAAAATATCTTGAAAACTATTGACTTTAGGTATAGTCTAAATCAAATTGTATATTCTATTAAAATTTCAAATCCATATCGTTTGCGTTTCTCCAGAAACACCCTGTATATCATATATTTAATATAAAAAAATGTAAAATAACTAATTAGAAAAAAGACAAAAACTGAATAAAAATATACATATATCTAAATAGCCGATCGCAACATAAAAAATAAACTCTTTATTCTAATTTATTTATTGGGTAAATATTACTTTCCTCAGTTTGGAATTAAAATTTAAGGTTTCTTATCGAGTAAAAAATAAATTGAAGCTTGGTTGTGGAACAAAAAATAAAATTAAAGTAGGTTATAATTTCCAACTTGCTGACACAGTCTATAATTATTATTTAGTTTATTCATTTAAAAAAAATGTTTTGAGTTTATAGTACACTTATAAATTGAAAGGCAATCAACTTATAAACTGAACTGTCAAATTATCTTTCATGCTTCCAATGGTATGTTACCATCGAGAAAAGTCTAGGATGCCTACTAAGATCAAAATTAGTAAACTTAAAAAAAAATTAAATTTATAAATAAAAGTAATTTTAGCTCCATCTATGGCGATTTTTTTAAATAAATATGTAAGAATGGTATGTTATAATTATATATATTATATAATATATTATATGTAATATATAATACATTATCTTATAAAACTAGATAAAATAATATATACTTTGTTAAACACGTTAGTATTATGACCTTTGAAGGCCTAACTTAAAAATGATGTCTCTCGTAGAAACATAATTTGCATGTAGAAGTTTATATATCAAAAAATAGTTAATTATTAGTACTTTAACGTGATATACTTAAAATTATAAAATAACGTTGCTTTTTCGATTTGTTAACCCTTAAAAAATGGTAAAATTTTAAATTAAATTGTCCCAAGCACCCCCTGTATGTTAAAACCAAAAAAATAATACGTGGATATATTGCCATTTATTAATTATTGGGTCTACATTTTATCCTAATTTTAAATCGATACGTTTTTAAATAAAAATGTTATTACAAAATATCGAAATTAATCTATTTTTAACACAGTTAAGTGACTTAAGGCCTAAAAACCACCGGGGTCAATGGATGAAATTTTTTTTTTTTAATTCACCATTTATCTAGAAACAAGGTTAAAAAAAATATATTCAATTCTGGCATCACTTGCAGACAAATCGCAAAGCGAGAATTATATTGTTCTATCTGCATTTTTTTCCAAATCTGGGATTTTAGCTTGGTTAAGATATTTTAATGAATATGGTTATTTTTACAATGACTTAAAACAATTTTTATTACTCTTTAAGCTACAAAATGCATTTGAAAATTGTTCTATATTTTATTTCCAGCAATACCAAATCATTATAATGTTCTATCTGCTTCGCCAATGGGATTGTCGGAATTTTGGAGATAGAACATTATAATTATGTAAATTTCAGTTTAAGACTGTAATTTCTGCTATACATGAGAGCTCTTTTGTGTCCTAATTTCGTGCTAAAAGCAAGAAAAGCAAGAAAATATGGTGAAGTATTTATTCTGTTATCTATTTATTTTATTTCAATTGCTAACAATAAAATATACAAGGAATTGTGTAATAAGAAAAATATTACACCAGTTAAAAAGAGCTTCTATTGAAGCATCTTCAATTACTAATTTCTGAAACTACACACAACGAAAAACGTACTTAATATTAATAAAAAAAACATTAACGCAATGATTTTTTACATTAATTTTGCTCCGATGCTCAAAATCATTACCACAATGCTTTTAAAGTATTACTCAATGTACAAGGACGTAATATTAATGCTTGGCGGACATTGATTTTAATCAGGAAGATCTCAAATAATATAATATAATAATATTAATGACCATTGACATGGATTAATGTCCTAGTACATTAATTATATGCCCAGTAAACATCAACCAATTAATAAATTTTTAATCAATTAACAATTAAAGAACATTATCCCAATCACCTAATATACATTAATTAATGATCTGTTTAGCATTATCATAATGCAAAGAAGCATTAATAGTAGGCCTGAAATAAGGGATGGAAAAATATCGATAAATCGATATATCGATATCGGTATACCGGAATGGATCGATATATATATATATATATATATTAGGGTGTTTCAAAAAAATCGACTTTTCCTTTTTCTTCAAATGGTCGGCAAATTCTTTCAGAGGATGTCAACACAAAGACCTCGTCAAAATTTGAGCTTTTAATTTGAAGATTTAGAGGTCGCGGATCGCAATTTTCTATTTCCCATTTAAATAACATGGGAATTTTTTTTTTTAACTTTGAAATTTTATACGTCTGAATCAAATCAACTTATGTAAAGGATCATCTTAGATTTTCATAGTAAATTTAACGCTCTACAAAAAAGGTCTCCTATCATTTTTCTATAAATTGATTCCTTCCAGAGTTATTCGAGGCCAAAGTTTGATTTCCATCGAATTTTCGCGTTTTTTTAACATTTATGGTACAATTATCATTATACGGGTGTCCCGAAATCAGGGGGCCAAACTTAAACAGTGCATTATTGGTATAAAAATAACACTTTTTTTGTTTAATAAACATGTATCAAAAAATGCTCCCTAAAGGAGCTACGGCCCCCTGAATAGGAGCCTAAGAGGATAATTTTTTTAAAACTATTCCTATAGAGGGTTGAACATGAACAAATGAATTTTCGGTAGGTACTTTGGTAATTTTGACATGCTGAATCTAGATCTATGATCAAAACTGTTAAAATTTAATCATAGGCGTAACATTTGGAGGGGGCAAAGTTACAAAAATAGCCCCAACTTTTTTCTGGGTTAATAATTTTTTTTTTTTATGAAATTATGAGAATTTATAGTTTTTTACGAAAAATAGGTACTCTTGATTTGAATTGCTCAGATGCACCATTTTCGAGAAAAATGCATTTATAAATAAATTACTTTGCATATTATACACATCTCATATTTACATTAAAACTTTGTAGTAAGGCTTTGGAAAAAAGTGACGTTTTTTTGTTTTTTTGTTTTTTTTACAACACTTCCTATGTTCCAGATAAATATATGTGATTTTTTTACTACATGATGCTAAAACTTGAAAAAACGAGAAAATTCGATGGAAATCAAACTTTGGCCTCGAATAACTCTGGAAGAAATCAATTTATAGAAAAATTATAAGAGACATTTTTTATAGAGCGTTAAATTTACTATAAAAATCTAAGATGTTCCTTGCCACAAGTTGATTCGATATAGACGTATAAAATTCCAAAGTTAAAAAAAAAAATTTCCTATGTTATTTAAATGGGAAATAGAAAATTGCGATCCGCGACCTCTAAATCTTCAAATTAAAAGCTCAAATTTTAACTAGGTCTTTGTTTTGACATCCTCTGAAAGAATTTGCTGACCATTTGAAGAAAAAGAAAAAGTCGATTTTTTTGAAACACCCTAATATATTGTAATGGTTCCGAAAAGAAACACCCTGTATAGATTTATTAGAAAACATGTTATTATAATTTTATTTTTGGACTTTTAAAATAGGATTAAGTAATAAAACTTTATGTTTAAGGCAAGTAAAATTTCAGATTTAGGTAGAAAATTTGCCAAACAAACAAGAGAGGTACGCGCTAAGCTGAAGGAAGAGTACATCTGGCATGCAGATTGGGGGAGGAATTTCCTTAGAGGTAAACGAAAAAGTTTTTCGA